AAAGCAAATTATAAGAATAAAGTAGGCTCGCTCACTACACGTGACTGAGGACGAAAGAATGAAGCAAAAAACATCTTTACAGAGACCAGTTTACCTTTTCTCAACTCAGCTGATGTTAAATGGTGTCAAATGTTCATGTCTAATTTATTACCGACCTATTTTGACAACGTTAGTGCAATTACGTTTATGTTTACTGGTAAAATACAATAATTTATTACAATCTTTCTAAAGGAGAAAACAGGAAAGACTTATCGATACAAACACTACTTGCGGTCAAGACTTGCTCATACACCCTTAATTCCTTTTATGTTAAACTGCATGAGCCTCCTAAATCCATGATCCCTCATTAAATATCAGTCCCCCGAAGAAACTGACGAGAGCCGGCCTTTATTTAAAGTCAAGCATAAAAGAATGAATAAATCTTATACTTACTCCGGGACATCGTCGTTCGTCATGTTGCACTGGGAGACGCCGACGCTCGAACCCTCTTGGTCTTTCTTCTTCTACATTGCTCCTTCTATCCGCTTCAAGTTCTCTCTGTCCTCTGTTTACTCTTTGTTCTTCTTCCCTTGTCGCGCTCTCTAAGAGGAAGGCTCTGTGCTCACGGCAGGTTGCTGTAAGAGCCAAGTACATTTTGAAAACACAGAGCAGTACGATCAGCATCACCATAAATGAGGCGACGCCATAAATATGCTCCAACATCATTGCTATGTTCCTGGCGGTCAGTGAAGCAACGGGATGAATGAGATATAAACTTGCTCGAGGAACTTGGTTTGTTTGCAGTGCTTGAAAGGTCAGGCTGTAGCTCCTTGTCGTGACTGCTCAGTCATTTTCACGGATTCGGTTATCCATGGCGTATATATTCAACCAACACGTGAGGGAAATCAGCATAGACCGCCAATCAGCCAATCATAGAACTCGAACTGTCCGGGAAAGCCCCTAAAAGTAATTGCACCTCTTCACCTTGTGTGTTGTTTTCCTCCCAATACAGGTCATGTGATAATACCCTTACTACAGAACTGTTTCTTATATTGCTACAAAACAGACTTTTCCAATGAAGGTAATTCAACTACATTTAAATATTAATTTAACTTTTATTACTTGGTAGCCCGTAGAAGGGGCTAAGGGTACTTACATCCAAGTTTGTTTCTCCCGGGCGGTATTCACCACAATATTTAATACAGCCTTTATAACCCTTCCGCTTGTAAGAATTCCCATATACTAGTTCCAAGGTCGATGTTTTAGCAAAAAAAAAGAAAGAACTAAAATAGACTGTAGAAGAAGCAGTCACAAACAAAGTAAATACCTATAATACTTCCGCGTGCAAGAATTCCCATACACTAGTTCAAAGATCGTTGTTTTAGCAAAAAAAAAAAAAAAAAGAACTAAAATAGACTGTAGGAAAATTAATCTACAAAAAATTGAAAATCAAATTTAACCGTGCTGAATTTGATAGTGAGTTTCGCTTCTCTAAACTAAACGGGGCAAGTTATAAAACAAATTCAACACTTAACGGATCGATGGCTTGTTGTCTAGGTGCGTGTTCCTTTTCCTGTTCTGTCAAATACCAAAATTATACAGTCACGTTCAGCTTATTTTTTATTAATTGTTCATTTGCAAATCAAAGTGAGTTAACGGGTCAAAAGAAATTACTTGGATTTTATCATGTGTATCGATGTGTAAATTCACGCCTGAGAGCTTAAGAATAGACAGAACTCATACTTCACTGAACGCACGTTGAGTATAACCGACCAGTAGTGTTGAGTTCTGTACATGTTGAACACGGCTCCTTTCTGAACATAGCAAGAACAAAACAAGATAAACATTGAGAGATTGTCTAAACGTTTCGTTTCAAACCTTTCCATTTTTTACTTGTTATTATTTGTCTTTATTCAGACAGCTTCGTCTGGTCCATAAAAACGGTGAAGGAAATAAAATGGGTTGTTTGATCTTGACCTAAACTTAAAACCTTGGCATGGTCATATGCAAATGTAACAACAGCCGATGTTTCATATAAAGCTTGAAGTGATCTCTGCCGATCGAGATAGGTGTCTCCGAGTGTGCCAAATAAGTCGTGTTCCAGTTCTGCCAGCTTAATATGGTTACAGGCAGGGATAACACCGGTAAACAAAATCATGTCTTGAAAGCGATTGATCAAGCTTTAATCCGGTATCGCAATGTATAAATAAAGTGAGCATTTGTCGTCTCTTATAAATTGTCTTTGATTTTAAAGTTCTGAAGCCATAGCTTTTGAATCAAGATAAAAAGGACATTTGCCCAGGGTCTCGAAAATAGGAGAAAGGTCAGTGTTCCATTGTCATTGTTTTGTGGTAAAAGTCCGTCTACAAGCATTTGTTAACATACCTCTTGTCCAGACGATCAAATTTTAAAGGTAAAAGTTATTTAAGCAACCATATTTCACGTCCGCAACTCGTGACAGTAATTCAACTGATAGACTTGAGGTCGACGGTACGCTCATATGCTCTTCCTTGGCTCCCTCATTGCTCCGGTAAAAAGGAGTACGGTGTTCGACCGCGGCTGCCAGAGCGCTGTCATGGAATAATTAAGAGACTGGTCAAAAAGTATAGGGGGGGTGGGCCGGAGCATTTGGAAATGTGGTTGATAAAAAACCCATGACCCACCCCCTCCCTTCGGCACAAAAATGACTGACCCACCCCTAAAGCAAGGTTGGAAATTGCATGACCCACCCCCTAGTTAAAACATGGATGTTTGGTTTCCTTTAAGGCCATCCCCTTTTTTTTCTGCGTTTACCGTCGAATGCGTTTCCTGATATTGGGTCGGTCGGTCGGATTGAAAAGAAAAACCTAAAAAAAATCACAAGAAGTCTCGGAATAGTAGGCCCTGGTACCCCAGGACGACGTTAAAAGTTAACATTCACATATTTGGATTAACAAAATGTACAATATACTGTGAAAAATGTTCATGTTTTTGTTCCTGTTTTTCTCTATGCTGTTACTATGCTCATTTTTCAGATTAAAAGAATTATTTCAAGTGAAAAATGGTGTAACTACGTCGTTACTTTTTTCTTGAAAATGCCAAAAATTTGGGTCGGTCGGACGACGGTAAGCGAAGAAAGAAAAAGAGGATGGCCTAACCTTGTTCTGTGCTTGACAAAATTTGTTGATACACTGCTACAACCAATATCAAAATCACAGAAATCACACCTTTCACTGAAAAGACAAATGTGAAAAACCGAACATTTCTTGTTTGTAGGGACGTTATGGGTCTTGACACAAATATACAGCAAAACGAGGGTATATTGAAATTGTCTGTCACAAAGCATATGAAAATTTCTACAAAGACAACCCATTCCTACACATTACTTGCCGGAAATTCTTAGATTAATCCTCAAAGAAAATTTCTTCCACTTCAATGGAAAGCACTACCCAGAAAACCATGGAACTGCAATGGGTACAAAGACAGCAGTTTTGACTCCTTTGCCAATATTTTCATGACATATATTGAAACAACAACTCTAAGCAAAACTGTCTTTAGAACAACAGTTTGGAAATGCTACATACACGATATCTTTTCCCTATGGGACATAAGTAAACCAGACATCGAAGCCTTCATTGAACAAGCAAACTTACATCGCCCAACTATTAAATTCACTGCTGAAAAATTTGACACTGAGATGCAGCGTTTTTAGACACGGTTGTATACAAAGGCACAAGATTCAAGAAAATATCTATCCTTGATGCAAAGACACATTTTAAACAAACGGAAACCTTCTTGCACACACATTTCACCTCGTGCCACCTTCCAAGTGTAAAAAAAGGATGTGTCAAAGGAGAAGCCTTGAGAATCCTACGAAAAAACTCCTCAGAAACAACCTTTGAGGAAAAATTAAAAAAAAAAGGCTTGATGGACGGAGGCTACCCACAAACTTTGATAGAAGACCTACTATCAGAAATAAAATTCACAAAAACGAGTCTAAACTCCGAAAACAAAACATACAAGGAGGAAAAAAAAATATTGCCATTTGTGACACAATACCCACCCTCAGTGTCTACTATAAAGGAAGCTTGAATAATAAAAATGGAATCTTAGACAAAACCAACGATAACTTCAATAAATTTTTAAGGAATCACCAATCACTCCCTTACAAAAAAGGAAAATCATTAAAGGACATGCTCGTTAGAGCCAAAAAAAAAAAAAGAATAACAAAGGGTTTCACTCCCGTATAGATGCATGTGCGGCCTGTCACCCGTGGCATTTTTTCGCACAACAGGTTTGTGAGTATTTTAGCAATAATTCCAGCTGGCTGTGTTTTATATAACAAGTGTGGTCAACTGTCTCGTTAGTAGTTAGTGCCTATCTATGTAATAAAATAGGGTGACCCACCCCCTAATGGTAGCTGAAAATTGCACGAGCCACCCCTTGCACAAGGCTCAAAACCTCATGACCCACCCCCTCTCTGCTCCGGCCCACCCCCGCCTATACTTTTTGACCAGTCCCTAAGGTTGATGCTCTATAGATCAAGATGCCGCACTTGATCGACAAATGAATGGGTCAAGTTAAGAGACTTCTAGCCGGGAATTCGTTAGGTGTTTGGGTTAAATGCCATTGAACCAGGAGAAATAACAACCCCAGTTTTATTTCCTCCTTAATCAAACTTGCTCTGTTATCGACTAAAACGAGTCTTTACCAGAACAATTTAATGGCATGCAGTATTTCGATCGCGATAAATTTATCCGTAGTACCGCATGGCCTACATGAAAATGAAGCTCATCGAAGGTTCAATTTGTATAGGTAATAGCATGATTTGTAGTGATATTTCGTACAAATACCACAAGTGATATTTCAAAATTGTTATACATAATTTCACGAGCCGTTAGGCGAGTGAAATTTGAGACAATTTTAAAATATCACGAGTGGTATTTTTGCCAAATATCACGTACAAATCATGCTATTATTTGTTAATACTACTACTCACAAAAGGTTTGTAATTTTCCCATGTAGGTATTTCAAATCAAGCTGAAATACCACTACTCTAAGCCAATCAAATTGCAGTAATTTCTCATGTAGTAGTATAAATCTTGAATTAACTGATTGGATTACCCATATTAAAGCTCATAGTCTCCAATCGTTAATGCACACATATTTCTTATGGAAAAGACCGAAAGCCACTCAGTTTGATTTAGGATTTTTTATAACCCTAGATAGACCCTATAGACACTCCATATCGGTCTCAAAAATGGTCTTATTTGGACATTTGAGGTTTTATGTCCAATATTTAAGGAGTTTATCCTGGGAAGAAGCAGTCACACACAAAGTATAAGCCTATAATACTTCCGCGTGCAAGAATTCCCATGCATATACTAGCGTGACTCACGTCACGGCCATGAGTTTTGGTACCCAACTGCCAGCACTTCCTTATATGCACCTTCTTACATTTTTACCAGTGCTTTGAAGCAGGTCTTAAAACAGTTGCCCCGTAATTTTACGGTCATTTTCTTGTGTCAATCCTAGCAGTCTCCCTACATTCCCTTTGACGTGTTTTACTTTGACTGAGTTACGTTCAGTCTGGTCCCAGGGGTCTGGTTACGTCAGCCTGTATACAGCTGTTTCGAGAAAGGCTGTCGGAAAAAGTGCACGCGACAATCCCGAAA